GTCAAAGCTTTTTTGGCTGCTTTAGTGGTGCAATGGGTTGCAATGTCATTCTAAGTGGAAACTCTTTTAATGAAATGCCTTGTGTATATGTATGTGTGTATATATATGTATGTAATAGTAATCATACACAATGTATAACATAGATGAGAAACATTTTAGACAGTTAAACGTTCAAAGCATGTCCCTCTGGTACCATGATAAAATGAACTCTTTTTTTTTTTTTTTTTTTTTTTTTTTTTTTAGGTTTTAGACCTCCTATTGTAGAAGCATGCTTTAAAAGCAGTTACATACTGTGCAGGATCACTGGGGAAAGCTCTGCTGTTTGAGCCTCACCTGAGGGAAAGCTACTTAAGAAAGAAAACGTCAACAGAAAAGGATGACTGGCAAGGAGAAATGGGTAAATTGAGAAGAAGCAATAGCTGGAGGGTAGTGTGGCAAGTAGAGCCTGAAGTGTGGTTGGGAGACTTGCTGAACTATTAGAAAGAAAAGCTTGGCCAAGAGAGACAAGAGGAAAATGAAATGTTCTAAGCACCCTGTAGAGAAGGGTGTCCAGTATGCGGTTGGGAAGCCCTAGGTGAAATGGTTGTAAACTCATCTCGCTGCAGTAGATCGCTGTTCAACTTCCCTGTATGAGTTAGTGTCTGTATTTCCCTTCAGTTCAGGATACACCATTCACCCGTGAATTACTCTGATTGTCCTATAGCCATCACGGGGACAACAATGCAAATAACCAAAGAAGGAAAACACATTATTCTGCACACTATGGATTTCTAGCCTGTCTTGTGAGCTGAGTCAAATATTACTAGAAATTGGGCCCTTAAGGATGGTCATATTTTGGTAGTTACCCACCTGCTCTTAATTAAGCAGCATACAGCAACGCCAGTCTTTCAGCCTTGCTCAGTATAAACTACGGTGGTGGGAAGTCTTGATGAGGCTGTTAGAAAGGGTCTACCTGCGATGAAATAGTGCGTTCTGCCTAGAGGAAGAGGTAAGATTCTTACTTTGATATATTGTATATGTTATTTTTAGTATGACTAGAGAAGAGAAGGTATCGAGGAATTAGACTTTAACCAGAAATGTTACTTTCACTTCCTTTCCAAGTCAGTATTTGTCCACAGTCCTTCCACAGCAAAAGTGTTTCCCATAGTAGTACAGATGGAAGATATCCAGCTCTTCTGAATGGGTGCCGTGATAATCACATCTGAGTCATTAACTTGAATATCTAGCGGGCAGTTTTTAATGTATTTTTATATGTAGTCATAAATCCTGAAACTAGTTAATTTCTTTAATGGACTGAAACTATCCCTTATTTTCCTAATATCAGTGATGACTTAAAGATGCTAAGATAATTTGGTTTATGGCTGAAATAGCATTCTTACCTGTCTCTCTTGTTTTTCTCTGACAAAACCATAATATTTTGATTAAGGATACTGTTTTAGAGTTAAAATGTGAACCAAGAATAATGCTGCTAGCGTCACGGAGTAGCACTGAATTTGTACCTGCATAGAGATTCAAAGATTGAAATCTGAGTAACTGAGTAGACACAGAACTTTCTGGTGATTCTAATGTTCTTCTGGCTTGAGATTACTTTATGACAATAAAATAAGAGTAAAAGGGAAATTCTTGAGAAATGATTGATGTACAATAAAGATTAATATAAGGTGGGATCTGGGGAAGTTTTTATCACTATAGCAGTATATCACATCAGAATATATTAATTTTTTTTTAAACTTATAAAAACCTTGAGAATAATTTGAAAAATTATTTTAAAGAAGATCTCTGAGAAATGATTAAAAATAAATGGAGGGGGGAATAGAGTTAAATAAGCAATAACTGAGACAAGCTGAAATATAGAGGAAATCAAACCAGGTGAAGGAAACCTGGGAAAATTTCAGTGATACCCTTCGTATTATTGACCGAGTGATAAGGCAGTTTATTTGTAAGCCCGAGACAACATATTTACATATGGCTGGTGGGCTGTGCAGATGAACTAAATTAATTGGTGTGGATAAGACCTTAATGCTTGCTTTTCTTATTTCTGTGCATAAAGCAGAAACTTTAAACAATCACCAGTGACGAAAAGCAGGCATTTTTGGTCTGCCACGGAACAATTTTTAGCCTTGGCTATAAGCTATAAAATCCTGTTAGGATTTCATTACTAGTCCAGATGGATTTGGGTCCTTGTCCTGTGATTTGGTAGTAAATCATTTAAGGTAAAGTTGCAATTTATTCAGTAAGAGAGATAAATCACAGCTTCCCTCTTGGGATTATATCAGTGTGTTAGTCAAAGCATGATAATGGTGGTGAATCAATTAAGAAAGGGAAAATTAACAGCACTGTCATGTACTGTGTTACTGTGCATTAGTGGAGTAAAATGCGAAGTTTTTAAGCAGTGTGTTTTTCATTATATTTGAAGTCTTCATTGTAATTCATACTGGCAGGAGATAATAAGTTAAAAATGGGAAAACTGCTGACAAATTGAAATTGTATTGTACCATATGATATTTTAAAGGGGTGCTTTTCATATTTCCGGAATGAAGTTAACAGCACTCAGTGCTAAGAGTGATTAATTATCTGAATTGTGTAATAGCTATCTCACGAGAACGCACAATATCTATTAGTTTACAAAACACCTTAATTTTATTGTGTTCTTTTACATCAAAAATCCCTTGAGATTCTTCTATAAGAGACAAAGGGTTTACCTAACGAACTTATTTGGGCACAGAAGGCTGTAGCACTAAAATATGCTCTAGCAATAGCACAAAGATCAGAGGTGTATTTTTATTTTTTTTTTTCACTGCACATATGATGCTTCCCATGAAGCATCTTCAGAAAAAGAAATCTCTCACAGGTTCTAATTGCTGATCCTCTGTGAAAGACATGAGTTTATGTGGTTTTTCTGAAAGGTGCCGTGCTCAGCTCTCTCTCACACACACAAATAATCAGAAATTGTCATTCAGAAAGTAGCATTTTAATGCGTGGTAGTAGCTCTTTATGTTTGGGAGAATAGGTCAATGCACAAGATATTGAAAATTTATAATGAAAAGTGATGCAGTTGTACTTTAAAAATTGAAGATGTGGCATACATTTTGATAATGGAATAATGGAGACTCCCTACCCCTACTATCATGTCTGTTCAAGACCATTAGGATTCAGAATATTAAGAGCAGAGCAACTGGGCGTAACAGCCTACGTTCAACATCTGTCGTGCTGGAGTCCATTAGTGTTCAATTGCATCCTATTGTTTTTGGATTATTCAACCTCATTTCATTGTCATTGCTTCTGCTAGGGATTAATCAGCTGTTTACAACTACGCCAAGTTTTGGAGTCATAATGAAAACAATTGAGCTATAGTTCTAAATAAATATACAGTATTCAGTCTCTAATGAAAAAAGTTACTAATTTATGAATGCTGGTAACAATTTAATTAAGTTTGAAATCAATACAGATAAGAAATCATTGCATGGCATGATATACCCTTTGTGTATATCATAAAATGATTTTATGATATTTCCTTGTAAGTTTATGTGGATAATGGTTTTAATAATATAAGTACAGTAAAAGAAAGATGTTTTGATTATGGGGTGAGGGGGTCTGTAGGGTGGCTTCATCATTAAAGTTGATAGAAGAAATGACTCCTTACTACCAGGAGACAGATTTCTTTTATTCACATCTTTCATTCTCTTTGTTTATTTAGGGATAGTACTAAAAGACACTTTTTTTTTTTTTTTAAATTCCCATAAAATATACATATATACTTTAATATGGTATATTAAAAAGGGCAGTTTTCAGACAGTTTGTATACTTACCTATTACTGTGTATGTCTATACCACAACCTATCTAAATATTTTTGCAATCATTATAGATAAATCCATGGCTACATTTGAACTGTTTAAATATATTTAAATTATTTTAATGACATTGGGTTTGCTGACAGATGAATACATAATTCCCATTTTTCTCAAGACACTGTTCTCTGCAATGTGCTTTATATAATATTCAAATTGTGAGTGCCGAAGGGTTTCTAATAATTTGAGTCTACTTATTTTGGTACCATACAGTGCAAACCAGTAGTATTCTTGGCCATATACCATTAAGCTAATTGTCCTCTGTTTCATTAGAAGTTATTTCTTCTTAATGCCATCTAATGAGAATTTTCACATGTTTTAATGTACAAATACTACAATGCACAGAGATTTTTTTTTTTTCCTGACTTGCAACAGATTATCCATTGAAAGGATCTTTTGCTTAACTGCCCAGAGTCTTGTGGGGCCAGCCAGACACTACTCCAGATGGCAAGTTGTTAGGGCTGGACAGAACGGCTTTGGAAGACTTCTCAACAGATGAAGGCTGTAATGTTCGGATTTTACTGTTTTGTTTTTTTTTTTTTTCCCCCTGTAGTTCCCAGGGTGGGAAGGTACTGGGATGGAAGCAGAGTGCCGCCCGCCCACCTGCTACCACCTGTTTAGCTTTTGCAGTTTCTATAAAGCCTCATCTTGTCTGTAAGACACAATCATTGCTTGCCGGCAGGAGTCAAGAAAGGAGAGATTTCTGTTACGGAGTAATGTCTTCAGATCGCAACCATTCATCATTTCAAAATACTCTCCTAAACTGAATCAGAACTTCTTTCATTTGGAATTGATGTGTCTTTAATCCATTCAGATCCTTTTTGAATTAAATGGACTGTTTTCTTCAGTAACATACATTTTGAGAATGGAGATTTCATTGTTTTCTGACTCTTTGAGTTTAAAGAAATTAAAAGACTGAAAGCATATGACGTTAAAAGCTCATTATTCTTTCTTTAAACAATAAGAAACGATTTTCAGACATTTTCAGAAGAACCAGAAGACCTTTTATTTTATTATATTTTTTTTAGATGCTAAGAAAAATATCCCAATCATTGATACCTGGAAACAGATTCAAGAAGTACATAGGCTACTCACATGAGTGCTTTCCCTACCATTTTTTAGATACCTAATTTTCAAAAAAGTAATCTTTGTGCGTGTGAAACTGAAGCTGCATCGAATATGAAAACCTGCAAATCCAGTCATTTGGATTCAGGCGTCGAATCAGACATCCAGTGCAGAAGTGCCCCAGGCTGTGTCGTGAGGTGCAGCTCGGAAAGGATGGAGAGTGCTGCGAAGAGAAGACTGGCTGCCAACGCCAGGGAGAGAAGACGGATGCAGGGACTGAACACAGCCTTTGATCGTTTGCGAAAGGTGGTTCCACAGTGGGGTCAAGATAAGAAGCTGTCCAAGTATGAGACCCTTCAGATGGCTCTGAGTTATATCATGGCTCTCACTAGAATACTTGCCGAAGCAGAAAGATACAGTACCGAAAGAGAATGGATTAGCCTTCACTGTGAGCACTTCCATCCGGAGAGCTACCACCATTACACAGCGCAAAAAGTGGCAGCAGACAGCGATCCTTACGCCCAGCGAATATTCAGCTATCACCCTGAACACTTTCAAATAGCTAATTAGGACTTTTTACGAACTAAGAATATGCAGCAGGCCAGATGTGTAATTTAATAATTAGCAAGAGTTAATCCACTTGAATAAGGTAATATCGGCATTATAATAGCTCATTCTTGGTTGCGTCTTATACTAATTTGACAAAATAAATTTGCTTTGAGATCTTTATATCAAAATGCATTTAGGAAGACTGAATATATTCAATGCTGGTGGAAAGCATACTTTTAATTTGAAATCTTTCTGACAATTCCTTCCTAGTTTATCTAGTTCATTTGATTATTTCATTAAGTAAGTTTTTGTTTTGGTTTGTTTTGTTTTTTTACTGTGATGAATTGTGACAGTGTTTTCTACAGATCACAGGCCAAACTGACCAGTGGTGGTATAGCTGAATGGAATAACACTAGAAATTAACTTCATTCCACGTTTTTACTTTTATGTCAGCTTTAAAGTTATTCTTTGGTTTGTTTTCACATATATGGCTCCCATGGAAAAAGTTTTATAATGTATTGGAGTTCTAGTCCTCAGAGAACTAACTTTCTTAAACTTTGTAAGTTTGACCTATGGGTTCCAAGGTTGTGTAGGTTTGCTTTAATCCAATTTATGGTGTCTCTTGTATGCTCGAAAAAGAGCTGGTTTCAAGTCATCGAAGGAATGTTTCAAGTCATGGAAGCAATTTTCAATGGCTGTAAAAGCACGTGTGATTATATACCATAAATGAGAATGCTTGCGTGAAAATAATCTAAACTTCTAGATTTTTGTAGAATTTAAACGTTTGGATTTTATTTTTTAATTTTATGTTATCTGGAAACAATAACGGATTTTGTAAATTATAAATAAAGTGTTTTCTATGATATGTCCTCACCAACTACCTGAAATTCCTACTCTAGGAATTACTTATAGTGGCTTTCCTACCCCAAATGTTACACTGCTTCCATCGCAGTCCTGACAGTTTAATGTGCAGAAGAATCAATTGGGAAATGATTCTTGCTTCCCACTTAGAGCAAGAAGTGTGGTTTATGTACCCTCTGGAAAACAGCCTTTAAAGATAAGGGTTTGGTAAAAAGTTACAGAGCATTCTTGCAAAGCAGTTGGGCTCATTTCAGCCCTGGTGGTGCCCTCATTTGCCTTTTGTTTGTTTGCTTCTGTCACTTGTGAAGGATACAGGGACCTGCTTGGAAAAGGCAGAAGAGGGAAGAAGGTTGGGAAGGTCACAAAAGAAGTAGGAGCAGGACGGCTGGAGAAGCAGATGTGTTTGTAGCGGGATGTAGAGGCTGCAAAAGTTTGACTGCTGATGTCTGTTGAGATGGCGGCAGACTTTGAAGCTGAAGGGTACTTCTGCTGAGGGGAGTTTCCAGAAACAAGCCCTTGCCAGTGTAAGCTGTGAGGGAGAAGGAGAAAAGGAGCCGCTGGCCCGGAACAGCTGTTGGTGGGTTTCCAGCAGGGAAGGCTGGTGGGTTCCCTGCTGGCTGCTGCCATGTCTCGTCTTTTAGAATTCGTTCAAATGACAAATGAATCGCTTTGATAGGAGTTATTTTCAACAATTAAGCAGCTTTCCATGAAAAACAGAAGCATCAATAGGAACTAAGCCCTGTTTTGGGGGAGGGGGACTCTGCTGCCGGAACAGTTGCATACAAAGACCTGACCTTACTGTCTGTCTTCTCTCAGAACCCTTCTTGACGTCTTGCCCTTGGTCACTGTTGTGCAGACCAGTACATCTCCCGAGGCGGGAGTTGGACTGTCCACGGGATGAAAGCTGCTGGGACAGACTTTCAGGCTGGGTTAAACACACGTAGAAGAGGCACGGTGTATTCTGAGCATCTCTCTCCTTTAAACACTGGCATTCAGGAATATTTTTTAATAAATATTTTATCCTCTCTAAAGGTAATTAATAGTGTTAATTATTAAAGTTGGGCTTTTGCTTCTTATGAATTACCTTATATCTTTATCAGCAAACAGCAGATTCAACCTTCTGGGAATATCATGTTACTCACCGATTTCTTTGCAGAAGTTTATATAGAGAGACTAGAATTAATTGCTGTCCATCAAATAGCCAAGTCAATATTGTTTGAATATTACTCATCATTAAGTGACAAGATTTTGTATGCAGTAAGAATCAATACAATCCTTAAACAATTAGGTGATGTGCCATCTTACACTGATTTATTAGCTGTAAACTTTATGCAGAGGTTGTCTCACCTGCACTGCTAGCACAGTAGTGGGTTTTCCATCCTGAAACGGGAATATGATACAAATAAATCATGCAATTATATGATGTGGAAATCTTGGCTTAGTGAAAGAAAGCATTCCAAACCTTGGGTGGGAAGGGTAATACAATACAGAAGTATGAATACCAGAGCAGAGTGCAAGAATAGTACTGATGGGTTTCTGCACTACTGGCATATAATTTGATTTCGTGGGACATGGCATTGCAGTTTGTATGCAATTTATGTAGAAAAGTACTTAACACCCATTTCTCTTCTGATTTTGTAGGTTGGGTTGTAATTTACTGACTACTGAATATGATGGTAGATATAATTATAAAAATAAGGGGTAAGTGAATGATTAGATGATAGTAAGCTAGCATAAAGAGGAACAAACCAACCCAAAACATAAAATATCTGTGGTTGTGTTACCAAACATTATTAAGAATTGAAACCAAAGTCCCAAAAAGCACTTCAGTGCAGTAAATATCCTGTGAACACTTTGTAAATTAGGTCATTGCATCAATCTCTGCTGTTGCGTAATGTGGTAAGATTACAATCCCCATTCTCTTCAAGTTGGTTGTGCTAGTGAGAGATGACTGTTTTACTGGTCTCTTTATCTATTGATAATAATTAGTAATATTATTAGTGGAAAAACTGATTTTATATAATGTAGTATTTTTTTTTCTTGGTAGGGTGCAGTGTTGAGCTGGAAGTTGAGATTTCCAATTTATTATAGGTACTGAAGGCAAGAAATTCTTTGTAGTGTACAGACAGCGGTCTGTCTATTGATGATCTGTCAAAGCTTTTTGGGGAGTGAATCGGGGCGAGGGGGAAGGCTAACCATTAAAAATTTTTTTCTGAAGGCAAGCAGATATTATCCATGCTGGTTTGTACTTCACAAACTCAAGTATTCAGGAAGTCACTGGGTTCTTTTCATAGCTTTCCTTTGCAAACACTTCAGTGACACTTTGTGAACTTGACCATTTAATTCGGGTTTGATTATTGCTCCCAACTATTTGTTCCCCACTGGCTGTTTGATGCTTGTCACGTCATGTCTGTGACCCTTCTTCTGTACTGGACTTTTTTCATACGGGCATTTGAAGCTCCTTCTCCTTAAATATTGTTTCCAGTGGGCCTCCGGATGAAACAAAAGCTTAGAGCTTGATGTGTTCTTAGTGCCTGAGTTTTGTCTGCTCATAAAGTTTTGTTCTGCCGAACAGCAGTGGAAACCTGAAATACTTCTATTTGTAGCATCAGTACATTGTACTTCTAGAACCGCGTTATTGTGAAAACATTGGGATGAGAAATGCTTACTTCATTCAATGTTTGTTGCGTGCTACACACATGCACGCTTCGCTCTTGAAATTCAGTGTGGAGTTCTCATGAACTGTTTGTGCAAAATTAACATTCTTCTAAAAGGTTCAGACTGCAGGGTTTGAGATACTCTGCTTCTATGATTCTTTGAATCATATCACCCTGTTTTGACAAGGTGACCAGAGTTATTTTTGAACTCGGAACTGGAGTGACATTTTTAACTGCAGTGACTTTTCAGTGGCTGCAAGCAGAACTAGAGTAGCACGTTCCCGAAATGCGTTAGTAACGAAAAGTGGTTTCCTCCTGTCTAAGTATTGAGGTCATCAGTGGCTGTGTATTAGCAAGTCTTACAACTTTAATTCTTCCCAAGTTTTTAGGCTTCTATTTTCCATCTCACCATTGATAAGGTATTTAGGGCACAGTCCATCTTATGCCATACACACTTACATGGTAAAGCTCAGTTCTTGGCTGGAATTCCTAAATGGTGCTGCAGTACAAACTCTGAAAAGTGAAAATGTTACTAACCATAGTTATAGTCCTGTAAAGTCGATGACGTTACAACTCCTTCGCGTGGGGAAACATGAGATTTTTACTATTTAGCTAAGTTTCCTAATCACTGTTAGGTAGAACTTCCCTGGTGAAATCTTTGTGGAAGTCCCTACTGTGATGGGATTCTTTAGGCACAAGTTTAAAAAAATCTGATTTCCAGTCAAATTTTTGATTTTCCCAAACAAGCTTCTGCCTTAAGATGGGTACCCTTACGCTTAGGTTTCCAGCTATTTGAGCTAAACAATATGAATGCAAATTTCTGTCATTCAGGAGTGAAATTTATCTAGATTTTTAAAATTCAGTAAGAATTTACAGAACTTCTTCTTTTTGCACTAAATATGTTCAGCTATTCTATCTTTACAAAATACCCAGGGAAAGAAAGAATGCACTGACAATAAAGACATGTTTATTCATTGAAGAAGCAGTCCAGTGTTTCCTCTACACAGATACCTTGCAACAAACATTGATTTCACCCGATACTTGGACACTTTAAAAAAAAAAAGATCTATGTTTTGAACTTTAATTACATTTCAAGTAACTGTGGCTTTTAAAAAAACCAAAGCAACTTCACATGTAATATTTAAATATATCTTCTACCAAAGAGCACATTTTAATATTGTCTACTGTATTTTTCTAATTTGTAATTTGGTTTTCATTTGTACAGAAATTAGCATGCAAAATATATCTTATACAGAATTTGCTTAAAATGTCTGCATATGTAACTCCAAGAAATAAGTTCATTTTTGAATGGCTTTCTGCAGCCTGGGGTGTGTAGTCAGAATGTCTTCAGTATTTTTCCATTTCTTTGCAATGTTGCCTGCTACTAATGGATTGTGTGATCCGTCTCTGAGCAGAATTTCCCACTGATATAAATGGAGAACTCCACTTACATTCACAGCACATATGACCCAAGATTTCTTTGTATTATGCGATAAACGGTTCTTTGTATCTATAGTGGACTTGAAGGATAAAGGCATTAATAAAAGCAGCTTGTGTTGTTCAGAGGAAATTATAAAATGTGTAGTAGCTGCTTTAGCTCGTGGGGCTATAGCTGAGCTAAAATGGTCTTAAGAACATTGTCTGTGAGCTAGCAGGCACAGAATTACA